ATATCTAAAGCAAGTCACTGACTTCTACCAAACACATGGATTTTTAACTTTATAGAGTCACAGAGGTATAAGCGACTTAGAACTCTAGGAAGTTATGATACAGAGGAAGAAGTAGAGAAAAGAAGTGAGAAAACCTACGAGGAGAAAGCAAGAAGAAAAAGAGAAGATCCAAGAAGACAGATGAGAGAAAGAAACAGCCCGTAGTCGGGAGGCGTCCCACCTCTCAGGTAACCAAAACTGCCCCTCCATCAGCCACAGTGACTCAACTGTGTGGCCGTGGGAAACTCAGAGAAGAAGATTAATTTTTGCCAATAGAACAATGTTTTATTGAACTTGACCTCTTGATGTTTCAAGCATGCTGTCAAGCACTACATTCTCAGTCCACAAATTCCTCAATCTAGGGCAGTACCAAAAAACATGCACCAGAGACCCTTCAGCTTCGTTACAACAGAGGTTAGAGGCCAGATTTTATGGAGAAGAGAGGGGGCCCTGTACCAATGAGTCAATCGTTTGTAGTTGGCTTCCTGCATTTTACATGCAATGGAGGCTTTGTGGATGAAATATGAAATGTCCGCTCGCTGCTTCGAAGACAAGGACAAGTAGAGTTCTGCTGCTCCCATTCGAGGAGAAATGATGGTACAAAATAATCTACAAAGGAAATAAGCATCTTATATGTCAGGGAGAGAGAATGCCTAGAGGGACCCTGCTCAAGACAGGGACGGTCAAACAGAGAAAGTTTGGGAATGGAATAAGAACCAAAGAGTAAACTTACAAGAAAATTGTAAAGTTGTAGAAACTGCCACAGATCCAGGGGGATCAAGCATCACACAGATTTCTTCCCAAGAACAAATGTGATTGGCATCCAAAAAAGCATCCAGTCTGCTGAAAAGTCTATCACCCCTACCAGGAAGGAAATTAGGATGATCTTAGATAGTTACATAGTTACATAGTATTTGAGGTTGAATAAAGACATTAGTCCATCAAGTCCAACCTATTAGGATCTCATTCTAGGAGTACCTGTACCCCTGTATATTACGGTCCCTTAAGAAATCGTCCAAAAGTTTCTTGAACAATTCCACATTATTTGCTGAAATCACCGCCTGTGGCATCCAGGTGACATCTGAGAGACCGTGTGATTGGGGCCGGTCAATTGAGGTGTTGACTGTAAAACCTTCAAAGAAGGACCTATAAGAGGATGGGCTAACTGAGCCTGGGGATGATGGGATGGTAACCAGGGACTAAATTTGAAAGGCACTGGTGAAGTTATTATGTTTTTAGAGTACATGCAAACTAGGTCATTCAAACAAAGAACATTACTAGCCATAGGTTTTATACACTTTTTGAAAGTTTTATTAGATCACCAGCACAGACAAAAAATTACTTTTGAAATAATTATTGTGAGGATAAAGAGCAATGTGCAATACCTCTAAGCAATGACTCAGAATCTTAACTGTTTACTGGTTGTTAAGGTTTACTAATATTTGCAAAATTTATTTTTTCTATTCATTTAATAAATAAGACACAAACAATTTGTTCTGTATTGTCACTTACTTATAAAAACACAATTTCACTATTTTAGGAATAAAGCTATACAACTATTCACAATTAACAAGCACAAAAAAGTAAATGTCACTTGTGCCAACGTTCATCCTCCATAGGGGTACACATATAACAACTTTTCACAGGTGGGCAGCACTTTGACAGTCAGGGTGTCTGGAAATCTAGCAAACAGGAAACACAAGAACAGTGCACCTTTCTTGTGTAGAACTCAAGAGCATCTGCATGCCTATGCTGTGACTGTTTCTGATGTTCTCACAGTGAAGATGTACCTCTGTCACTACAGACTTTCTTATACTGGCTGTTTGTGAGTACATTTCTTGCATTTAACATTTAACTTATTAAGGACTTCTACAATAGAGAGGCACACTGTTTTTGTGTTTCCAATCAACAAGCATAGTTAAAGCATACTTGCTTGCTTTCTCACTAAACGATCATTAGATTTGTAGAGTATTGCAATTAAAACAGGATTGCACAACACAAATAAAACAAACTATTTTCCTTTACATTTTTGTATGTTTCTACCCCTCCACTGTGCCCATCATGTAGCCTATTTGTATGAACATCCTGTGGAAACGTTCATACTCCAGCAGTGGCTGAACATCACTGTTTTACTGCTTTGATGAGCATAGGCCTGGAGTCCAAGTTAGGAGTGCACAGGAACATGTGACAATGCTGCACATGTAAGCATGAATGCCCTCGGAAAGAAGTGCCTGTTGACACACCTTGATGGTATGAATTTAACTGAAAACAGGGCCTATACAAACATGGGGTAAGGATTGAGAAAACAACCTTACACTGACTATGCACAGTCTCAAACAATTGTTTTAGATTGATTATATTTGAGCATTTTTAAAAGTTTTACTAAGTAAATATGAGGTGCTGATATACAATATTTCATATTTACAAAAATAAAATAAACATTTTCAAAATGTTATTTTCTTTTATTATTTTCTCCTTATTTCTGAACTTAGCAAAGCAAAAGTAAACACTAACAAGGCTTATAAAATAGGAAGCTGCAGTGTTCACCAAAATCCTTAGCCATGCCAGAATATTACTGCTGTATAAGTATATAGTATGATCCACTTGGAAAAATAATCTGCTTAGACTAGAAGGAATGACAGTTCTGCTAGAAGCTCACTGATCAATTGGGATACATAAATGACAAAACTCTTTTGTCATCGATGATGAAAGATCTGGAGTATAAGCCCATCTTAAGAGAACAGTGGAAACATCAAAGTATAACAGAAGCGGTCTCATCATTATTTATATTGGGTTTGCTGTTTGCGCAAGCATAGGCAAATCTGAAAGTTATGTTGTGGGACACACAGAACAAAACTGCCTACAGACAAAACATCTGAAATAAAAGATTATCACTGGTAATAATGCTTGATTTTGTTTGCAAATTTAATTAAAACACAGCATGAGTGTCCAATATAGACCTCAAGTGCATAGCATAACTTGTTCATGCATTGGAGGATTCAAGCAGTGGAAATTCACACAAGCAAAAAAAAACCTCTCAAAGTAAGGTTTAAAGTGAGGTTCGTTTTAATGATGTAAACAATGGTTTAATTTGCAGTGCAATTTGTTTTAATGAGGTGTAAAAAAGTGGTTTAGCTTTGTGCATCAAGTTCTTTTTAGGCTGTTTTGGATTCTTAGCACATATGCTTAGTAAATAAGATTATGCATCATTATTCTTTTAGATCTATGGAAAAAAAATGCTCTACTTGAATCACATTTAAAATTAAAGAATTACAATACACGGATAGAATAGTTATGCACGAGTCATTATTGTGCCATAAAAATCATTGTTTAGACTAAAGATGCTTAAAGCAACAGACTGTGCAACTCTGTGGATTAGTGATTCTAAGTTGTCAAAATTCCTCTATGAATACAAAGAAAACATTGTAACTGCTGATGAAATGTAGGAAGTTTTGTTTAAAAAAAATGGCAATGACAAGAATGTAGGAAAGATCAACATGGTAACAACCATTTCCTGCTAAGGATTACTCCCAGGAAATAAACAAAAAACAAACTACTGCCCATAGCAAATATCCAGTACAACAATCCATAGTTTCCATTTTGTTGGGTATATAGTTATTTTTATTATAAAAGGGGTACACCACAGAGATTACATTGTATTAGGACCCTTTTCAGATTCATGTATA